TCCGACGAGCGTCAGAGACGGTGTAGTAGGATTCAATCTTAGTCCTGTATTGATGCTTTGGCTGTTTGATGGATCGTCGGAGGGCATAGCGGGATTTCTTATAAGCGTCTAGAAATCTGAGATCTGAGATCTGAGATACTCAGATCATGTGACAGATCATGTGACACTTAGATTGCACACAGGTGGACTTTATTTAACTAATTACAGTGGGAGAAAAAAGTATTTAGTCAGCCACCAATTGTGCAATTTCTCCCACTTAAAAAGATGAGAGATGCCTGTAATTTTCATCATAGGTACACGTCAACTATGACAGACAAATTGAGAAAAAAAAATCCAGAAAATCACATTGTAGGATTTTTAATGAATTTATTTGCAAATTATGGTGGAAAATAAGTATTTGGTCACCTACAAACAAGCAAGATTTCTGGCTCTCACAGACCTGTAACTTCTTCTTTAAGAGGCTCCTCTGTCCTCCACTCGTTACCTGTATTAATGGCACCTGTTTGAACTTGTTATCAGTATAAAAGACACCTGTCCACAACCTCAAACAGTCACACTCCAAACTCAACTATGGCCAAGACCAAAGAGCTGTCAAAGGACACAAGAAACAAAATTGTAGACCTGCACCAGGCTGGGAAGACTGAATCTGCAATAGGTAAGCAGCTTGGTTTGAAGAAATCAACTGTGGGAGCAATTATTAGGAAATGGAAGACATACAAGACCACTGATAATCTCCCTCGATCTGGGGCTCCACGCAAGATCTCACCCCGTGGGGTCAAAATGATCACAAGAACGGTGAGCAAAAATCCCAGAACCACACGGGGGGACCTAGTGAATGACCTGCAGAGAGCTGGGACCAAAGTAACAAAGCCTACCATCAGTAACACACTATGCCGCCAGGGACTCAAATCCTGCAGTGCGAGACGTGTCCCCCTGCTTAAGCCAGTACATGTCCAGGCCCGTCTGAAGTTTGCTAGAGTGCATTTGGATGATCCAGAAGAGGATTGGGAGAATGTCATATGGTCAGATGAAACCAAAATAGAACTTTTTGGTAAAAACTCAACTCGTCGTGTTTGGAGGACAAAGAATGCTGAGTTGCATCCAAAGAACACCATACCTACTGTGAAGCATGGGGGTGGAAACATCATGCTTTGGGGCTGTTTTTCTGCAAAGGGACCAGGACGACTGATCCGTGTAAAGGAAAGAATGAATGGGGCCATGTATCGTGAGATTTTGAGTGAAAACCTCCTTCCATCAGCAAGGGCATTGAAGATGAAACGTGGCTGGGTCTTTCAGCATGACAATGATCCCAAACACACTGCCCGGGCAACGAAGGAGTGGCTTCGTAAGAAGCATTTCAAGGTCCTGGAGTGGCCTAGCCAGTCTCCAGATCTCAACCCCATAGAAAATCTTTGGAGGGAGTTGAAAGTCTGTGTTGCCCAGCGACAGCGCCAAAACATCACTGCTCTAGAGGAGATCTGCATGGAGGAATGGGCCAAAATACCAGCAACAGTGTGTGAAAACCTTGTGAAGACTTACAGAAAACGTTTGACCTGTGTCATTGCCAACAAAGGGTATATAACAAAGTATTGAGAAACTTTTGTTATTGACCAAATACTTATTTTCCACCAGGGACGGCTTGTTCAATAGGGCGATATGGGCGACGCACTGCCAAACGGGAAAAGGAAGGGATTTATTTTCTAATCAATTATATCACGGCAACAGCAGTTGTCAGTGTTCACGTCTGATCTGCCAGCCACTAAATGTCAAATCAGGCTAAAGTCGTGCTTCAAAAGTCTCTCATAGCCTGTCATGTAAAATCTATTTTTTTCACATTTCAAAGCTTTCAATACATTCTCTATGGGTGTCTGTGGGCTTGCACTTACGCGCGTTCGTCATACGTGACGTAACGTTGAACGTAACTAAGACAATGGCGGCTAGAAGCGTCTCTGTTGCGACCTGCAGTGCGGCGTTATTTTATGTTTTTAATTTGTAGACTTAGTTTACAAACATTCTGCCAACCATGGATTTCCAGTGGTTGGTTTTGGACTGATCTTGTTGATCGTGTACATACCCGCTACGAACGGACTAAATAATGAAAACGCTGCTGGCAGCTGAATCCCAATACAGCTGGGAGACTTGGCTGGATGAGTCCCGGACAGAGAAGTGGAGCCGGCCACCTTCACCCTGGTCAGAGCGGACCGCGATCCTGGTAAGAGAGCGACTCTGTACCCCGACATTGAACTGCTTTCTGTGTCATTGCGACCTTACTATCAATTCAATTCAATTTAAGGGCTTTATTGGCATGGGAAACGTGTGTTAACATTGCCAAAGCAAGGGAAGTAGATAGTAAACAAAAGTGAAATAAACAATAAATATTAACAGTAAACATTACACTCAGAAGTTTCAAAAGAATAAAGACATTTCAAATGTCATATTATGTATATATACAGTGTTGTTACAATGTGCAAATAGTTAAAGTACAAATGGGAAAATAAATAAACATAAATATGGGTTGTATTTACAATGGTGTTTGTTCTTCACTGGTTGCCCTTTTCTTGTGGCAACAGGTCACAAATCTTGCAGCTGTGATGGCACACTGTGGTTTTTCACCCAGTAGATAAGGGAGTTTATCAAAATTGGGTTTGTTTTCGAATTCTTTGTGGATCGCTGTAATCTGAGGGAAATATGTGTCTCTAATATGGTCATACATTTGGCAGGAGGTTAGGAAGTGCAGCTCAGTTTCCACCTCATTTTGTGGGCAGTGTGCACATAGCCTGTCTTCTCTTGAGAGCCAGGTCTGCCTACGGCGGCCTTTCTCAATAGCAAGGCTATGGTCACTGAGTCTGTACATAGTCAAAGCTTTCATTAAGTTTGGGTCAGTCACAGTGGTCAGGTATTCTGCCACTGTGTACTCTCTGTTTAGGGCCAAATAGCATTCTAGTTTGCTCTGTTTTTTTGTTTGTTCTTTCCAATGTGTCAAGTAATTCTCTTTTTGTTTTCTCATGATTTGGTTGGGTCTAATTGTGTTGTTGTTGTTGTTGTTGTTGTTGTCCTGGGGCTGTGTGGGGTCTGTTTGTGTTTGTGAACAGAGGCCCAGGACAAGCTTACTTAGGGGACTCTTCTCCAAGTTCATCTCTCTGTAGGTGATGGCTTTGTTATGGAAGGTTTGGGAATCGCTTCCTTTTAAGTGGTTACTATCTGCCCCGTGAGTTCCCCCAATTGTTTGTTACCGTTGTGTACTGTTGATAATCACAAGTTTACTGGAGAACTGAGACCAAGTAGAGACTTTGGACAGGGTGGATATGGTATAATAAAGGCAGTTTATTCAGAGGTAAAGATATCTGGAATCGCGTGCACGGACTCGTGCACGTGTGTAGGTCACCTAAATCATCAGAAAAATTGCCCCTCCTGAGAATTTTTTCAGGAGCCGCCACTGTTTTCCACCATAATTTGCAAATAAATTCATTAAAAATCCTACAATGTGATTTTCTGGAGAAAAAAAATTTCTCATTTTGTCTGTAATAGTTGACGTGTGTCAGGGCGTGTTGTAGGTGTAATGTAGGAATCAAACGCAGGACGCAGACTGAATGTTCCAAAGGCTGTAATACTGGCCCAACACAGGCAACAGGACAACTAAGCCCGACAGCAAAAACACGCACGAAGGCGAAAGGTAATTGCGCACTAACAGGTGCGACAAAATGTAACGGTGCACACACAGGTGCAAATAAGCTCCAGCACAGTGGAGAAATACGCTCAACCGAGCAAAACACAATACTGACGGAAACAATCACACACAACACTAGACAAACACAACGAGAAACTTATAGGACACTAATTACGTCAAAACAGAAACAGGTGTGGAAACAAACAGACAAAAGCAAACGAACATGAAACATATAGCGGTGGCAGCTAGAATTCCGGAGACGACGAACGCCGAAGCCTGCCCGAACAAGGGAGAGAGGCAGCCTCGGCCGAAACCGTGACAACGTGTACCTATGATGAAAATTACAGGCCTCTCTCATCTTTTTAAGTGGGAGAACTTGCACAATTGGTGGCTGACTAAATACTTTGTTTCCCCACTGTATATATATATATATATATATATATATATATATATATATATATATATATATATATATATAAATGGGCAAAAATTTATAGAAACCTGTTTTTGCTTTGTCATTATGGGGTATTGTGGGCAGATTGATGAGGAAAACAAACAATTTTATCCGTTTTAGAATAAGGCTGTAACGTAACAAAATGTGGAAAAAGTCAAGGGGTCTGAATACTTTCAGAACGCGCTGTACATCTATCAAATGCTACTGCCTATAAGATGTTACACCAAAAACTCATCCTCAGTCATTTCTTATCCGAAGCTGAATAGTCGAATATTTTCCTCATGCAGCCAAAACTCAACTAGCGATTGAAACAAAATAGGCCTACAAGAAAAGCTAATAGTTTCTTAACACCATCTGCAGTTATTCAAGAAGATCTAAATGCACATTCCAATGAAACTAATTGAGATCAAATCGATTGGCGTGCAGTTTTGGACATTTCACCGGTAAAACGTGAAGATTCTTCTTAGATTCACTAAAGGCTTGCTTTGAAATTAGGTACATCTAACTTGGTGTTTGAGACTATTAACAATATACATTTGTTTTAATTTTTTTTAAATACATTTTTCTTGAGACGAGATGTGTGGGCAAATAGGCAGACGTTGCAATTGGAGGATGATGCATTTTATGCGCCTATTCTATAATGATATTCATGCTGTCAGTACTTTGATTAAGACATTAGGTAACACTTTACTTGACACCTAGTGTCATAACACCTTATGATACGGTCATAACCATGACATAATGAGTCATAACAGCTGACATAACTTGTCATAACCTGTCATAATATGGTCATAACATTGTCATGACACAAATATATAGGTCCATAAAAAAATTTTTTCAAACCAAATTATAATCAGTAGCAAGCTTTAGACCCCAGGAATGGTCCGGAATAAAATACTTAAAAAAGACCTCCAGTCCTCCTCCTCTTCCTGTTCTCCCTCTCAAACTGAACATGACGTCAGTAGGAATAGTTCGCGCGCACAGATAATGCTTTTTTTTTTTTGTTCGGGACAAATTGACTTGCCCCCTGAAGTGCCACCGTACACAGCACAGTCATTGATTAGGCAGCACAAAAGGGTTTGATCAGCAAGAACAGGACAGGCCAGGGTTCATGATAGCCTATCCATTGCAGTGTGTAATGCAGTGTTAAATACACCATCCCAGCAGCGCAAAAAAGGAGGAAGTACATTTTCTTAGAAATATAACATATCCCTGTGCTTCTCCATGCATGCTCTTCCTATAGCCTATAGTAAAGGCTATGGGTCATTTGATTGAGACCACACTAGGCCCACTCCCAGCAGAGAATCAGGGATGAGGGGCAGCGTCACATCGAGATATAATAATAAGCAATTCATTCTCAAACTCTGAGCAATATGACATTTAATTGATTACAAATGACATGACCCTCCCCTGGACTGAATAAAAAAATAAATACTAAACCCTCCCCCTGACTGAAGTTGAAAAAGCATGACCCTCCCCATTTTCCTCCGGGTAACTGTTGTGTAAATGTCGACCTCTCCCTAACTTGACTTACTTTTGACTCAAACCCTTTCACTCGGGTTCTGTGTTGAGTTGTTTTGTGTTGAGCCAAGCCTCAGCATTTAGCCTATCAATCAGCATAACCCGTTTTGCTACTGTTTCTCCAGGTGCACACCCAGGGCCAGTTGGCCTACAGGGAGGACTACGTCCAGGATGGTTACGCTACGGACTGCTGCGCTGCCGACCACCACCCCCACCAGATCCCCCTCCTGCCCCCGCGGGCCCACTCCCCCCTGCCCCTCGCTGCGGACCGGGGAGGCTGGATAGGCACACCCCAGCCCTCACTGGAGGGGGGCCTCCGTAGTCTACCTGATTCTGGTCGCGCCTCGCCCAGTCTGAGAGACGGAGAGTTCTTCCTACGCCTCCTTCAGATGGAGGTGGAGAGGATGGAGGGATGGTGTCAGAACATGGAGAGAGAGGCGGAGGAGAACGAGCTGCCGGAGGAGGGTGAGGAAAGGGGGAGGAAAGGGGGGAGGGGGGTGAGACATTGGATGAGGGGTGGGGGTTGTCAGAAAGAGGAGAGAGTAAGTTATAGGAAAGATGGACTGGTTTGAGCCTTAGCTCACATATTGCACACGTTTGACTTTCTACTTCCTTTGTCCTGACACCCCCCCCCCCCCCCCCCCCCCTTCCTGTTTCCTACATCCTGTTTCCTGTGTGTTTCGTGTCCAGTTCTGGAGCTGATCCGTAACGCGGTGGGCAGTGCCCAGATGCTCATGTCTCAGAAGGTCCAGCAGTTCTTCCGCCTGTGCCAGCAAAGCGTGGTGAGCGGGTGTGATGGTGATCACACGCGCGCTTGTGTCTGTGTGTGTGTGTGTGTGTGTGTGTGTGTGTGTGTGTGTGTGTGTGTGTGTGTGTGTTTGTTTAACTATCCATGTGGGAACCAGAAGTGCTCACAAGGATAGTAAAACAAGGAAAATGTGGGGATATTTCGCCGGTCCCCTCAACAAAAAAGGCTATTTTAGGCTCAGGGGTTAGGTTTAGGGTTAGGGTTAAGGTTAGGGGTTAGGTTTAGGGTTAGCGTTAAGGTTAGGGGTTAGGTTTAGGGTTAGGGTTTAGGTTAGGGGTTAGGGAAAATAGGATTTTGAATGGGAATCAATTGTTTTTATCCACAAGGATAGTAAAACAAAGGTGTGTGTGTGTGTGTGTGTGTGTGTGTGTGTGTTGTGTGTGTGTGGTGTGTGTGTGTGTTGTGTGTGTGTGTGTGTGGTGTGTGTGTGTGTGTGTGTGTGTGTGTGTGGTGTGTGTGTGTGTGTGTGTGTGTGCGACGTGCATCTTCTCTCTCTCTCTACCAATATGAATGAGACCTAGCTATGGGGATATCTACCAATATGAATGAGACCTAGCTATGGGGTCTATCTACCAATATGAATGAGACCTCAGCTATGGGATATTACCAATATGAATGAGACCTAGCTATGGGGATATCTACCAATATGAATGAGACCTAGCTATTGGGGATATCTACCAATATGAATGAGACCTAGCTATGGGATATCTACCAATATGAATGCGACCTAGAGACCTATGAATGAGACCTAGCTATGGGGATATCTACCAATATGAATGAGACCTAGCTATGGGGATATCTACCAATATGAATGAGACCTAGCTATGGGGATATCTACCAATATGAATGAGACCTAGCTATGGGGATATCTACCAATATGAATGAGACCTAGCTATGGGGATATCTACCAATATGAATGAGACCTAGCTATGGGGATATCTACCAATATGAATGAGACCTAGCTATGGGGATATCTACCAATATGAATGAGACCTAGCTATGGGGATATCTACCAATATGAATGAGACCTAGCTATGGGGATATCTACCAATATGAATGAGACCTAGCTATGGGGATATCTACCAATATGAATGAGCCCTAGCTATGGGGATATCTACCAATATGAATGAGCCCTAACTATGGGGATATCTACCAATATGAATGAGACCTAGCTATGGGGATATCTACCAATATGAATGAGCCCTAGCTATGGGGATATCTACCAATATGAATGAGACCTAGCTATGGGGATATCTACCAATATGAATGAGACCTAGCTATGGGGGTATCTACCAATATGAATGAGCCCTAGCTATGGGGATATCTACCAATATGAATGAGACCTAGCTATGGGGATATCTACCAATATGAATGAGACCTAGCTATGGGCATATATTCTACTGCTAATACACAGTTTTCTCCTAATCATTTCTCATGATCCCTACCCCACTTATGATTTATTTAACCCTTACCTCCACCCCTCACCCCTCCAGGACCCATCAGCATACCCCCAGCCCACCTCTCAGGACCTGTCCGGGCTGTGGGACCTGCTCCAGCTCAACATGGAAGACGTCAGGGTCAAGTTCCAGCACCTCCAGAGGCTCAAGGACTCCGGCTGGAGGCTGCCCCCAGACAAGAAGGTGAGAGCTGGGGTCCGCTTGGCCCTGCTGCCCCCCCTGACCCTGGATCATTCCCCAGAGCTAAGATGGCAGAGTGTCAGAGAGTGGCACAGATGGTGCTGCTGCCTCCAAGCCAGCCCTGCACAACTTCAAGAGAAACTGAGGGGAGAGGCTTTGAGCCGAAATGGCTCAAAGCGTTGAGCTTTAAAGTTTTGTGTTAGTTCTGAAAGCCAAAATTAGCTGAGCCTGTTAGAGCTAAAATGACTGAGTGCTGTTTCAAAGCTTTATGGCAATACTTCTGATGTATTGTTTTGGGGGAGACAGGAAGAACAAAACTCACAGTAGCAACTGACAGCTATTAATGAGCTCTTACACATCATTTCTCTCTCTTTCCTTCCCCTCTTCCTCCACATACTGATCCATATTGGTGTCTTTATTTGGCCTGAATATTCTGCACTCCTTTTTTTTTTTCTTGTCTACTCTCCCTTTTGTATTGTTTCATGGTTGTCTTCATTGTGTTGGTTTGAATTGTTTCATGTATTGTACATGACATTATCCATCTGTCCATCCCTACAATCTTCTGTTTGCCCTTGATCCTTCTCTCATGTTCTCCCTCAACCCTTCCATCCTTCCATAATGTCCACCACATCCCACTGACTACCATCCTTTCATAATGTCCACCACATCCCACTGACTACCATCCTTTCATAATGTCCACCACATCCCACTGACTACCATCCTTTCATAATGTCCACCACATCCCACTGACTACCATCCTTTCATAATGTCCACCACATCCCACTGACTACCATCCTTTCATAATGTCCACCACATCCCACTGACTACCATCCTTTCATAATGTCCACCACATCCCACTGACTACCATCCTTTCATAATGTCCACCACATCCCACTGACTACCATCCTTTCATAATGTCCACCACATCCCACTGACTACCATCCTTTCATAATGTCCACCACATCCCACTGACTACCATCCTTTCATAATGTCCACCACATCCCACTGACTACCATCCTTTCATAATGTCCACCACATCCCACTGACTACCATCCTTTCATAATGTCCACCACATCCCACTGACTACCATCCTTTCATAATGTCCACCACATCCCACTGACTACCATCCTTCCATAATGTCCACCACATCCCACTGACTACCATCCTTTCATAATGTCCACCACATCCCACTGACTACCATCCTTTCCATAATGTCCACCACATCCCACTGACTACCATCCTTCCATAATGTCCACCACATCCCACTGACTACCATCCTTTCATAATGTCCACCACATCCCACTGACTACCATCCTTTCATAATGTCCACCACATCCCACTGACTACCATCCTTCCATAATGTCCACCACATCCCACTGACTACCATCCTTTCATAATGTCCACCACATCCCACTGACTACCATCCTTTCATAATGTCCACCACATCCCACTGACTACCATCCTTTCATAATGTCCACCACATCCCACTGACTACCATCCTTTCATAATGTCCACCACATCCCACTGACTACCATCCTTTCATAATGTCCACCACATCCCACTGACTACCATCCTTTCATAATGTCCACCACATCCCACTGACTACCATCCTTTCATAATGTCCACCACATCCCACTGACTACCATCCTTTCATAATGTCCACCACATCCCACTGACTACCATCCTTCCATAATGTCCACCACATCCCACTGACTACCATCCTTCCATAATGTCCACCACATCCCACTGACTACCATCCTTCCATAATGTCCACCACATCCCACTGACTACCATCCTTCCATAATCATAATGTCCACCACATCCCACTGACTACCATCCTTCCATAATCATAATGTCCACCACATCCCACTGACTACCATCCTTCCATAATGTCCACCACATCCATTGACTCAACCCCCCCCCCCCCTCCCCCCCCCCAACCCCCCTCAGGACGACAAGAAGCTTCCTCCCCCATTACCAAAGAAGCCAGCAGGGGGAGTGACCGGCAGCCTCCGTGCCGACAGCGTCAGCGACCCCTCAGTAGAACGAGGCGGAGGGGTGCTGGTGGTGCCCCATAGCGGGGGTGTGGGGCGGGCCGTGCCTGTCCGGGAGAAGTCCCTCGACCTGGGGGACAGACAGAGGACTGAGGCCCGCAGGAGAATGCTCCAGACCAAGAGGTCCGCTTCCTTCAGACAGAACTCAGCCACGGAGAGCGCGGACAGCATCGAGATCTACATCCCCGAGGCTCAGACCCGGCTCTGAACATGGAGATCAAGCCCTTTATCGCAGTGAAGAGAAACCGACTCAGACCCGACTCCTGGGACAGGCCAAACGTAGAGATAGAGCGCCTTGTTGGAGAGCCGTGCCACCCTAGAACAACCACAAACTGTTTGAGATTTACATCCCGAGGCTCAGACACTGAACATGGACATATAAGGAGACCCTTTATCAGACTGCTATCCCACCCTAAAAGAACCAGAGATCTACAGACCTGGCTCTGAACACTGGGACCGTGTAAACGTGGCCATATATCCTCTTATCTGACCGCTAGGCTAACCCTAGATCAACAACAACACTCCCAGGTCCCACTGAACCCCCATCAATGACGATATAGACCTACACACAAATGTCTCATCCCTTCACTTCTGTCCCACATCCCTCTGGGTGTACTGACCCTTCACTGCTGGGGATGCCGGGTCCCATCGTCATGCCATTCCAGGACAAGAAGTGAGCAAGAGGCGACAGCGGCCATTTTGTGGAATCTCAAAATGGAGGCTACAGGACCACAGTCGGCTCCACTCGGGTTTCTTCTCATCTTCGTGGTCAGAAATCAAAATGGAGAGATTTAGGGTTTTGTTTTAATTGGGTGGGGGGGGGGGGGGGATAGAGCAATAAAGTAGAAAGAAGTATCACTCTTGTTAAGTCACTGGAAGGTGTAGTCAAGCAGCTGTAGCATGTATGTGCTTGCCTTTTCACCTAACGTAACCTAGCCAAGCTTGGTTTAGCCTAGGCTAGCGTAACCTAGCGTAGCCTTTCTTAGCCTAGCCTAGCCTCCATCCTCACAGGAAATAAGGGCTTCACCGGGACAAACCTCAACCACTCATTTTTACATTTTACATTTTAGTCATTTAGCAGACGCTCTTATCCAGAGCGACTTACAGTTAGTGAGTGCATACATTTTTCATCCCACTCCTGTGGGATAGAGCAGATGATGGAAAATGGATGCTCGGCTCAACGTCACACAAGGCTCTAAGGTATCTCAATAACAACTAGCTACTGTTCAACACCCATTGGCTAGTTGGCTACATCCTCTGACGACTGTGTAACACTCACTCAACATTCAACTATGGATGACATTCAACCTACATGCATCCTACACAAGACCCAGTCTGCACTCATTCATCTAAGGATATATTCTCTCTCCCAACTCTTTCCTCTTGGCCCGAGCATCCGTCCCTCTATCCATCTGTCTGGGTAGCAGTATACTAGACTGTTTGAAAAAGCGCGTGTGTTTTTGTACATAGTGTGCACGATACTGTTCGCCAGAGGGAAGCTTTGTAGTGTAGCACGGCCTACTTGACAGCCGGAGAACATCACAAACAAAAACCTGAAGCTGTTTGCTTTTTAGATATTCCTTCTGAAGTGTAAGGGTTTGGCGGTGGGTGGGTGTGGGATGTCGTGGTGGTATGATTTCTTCTGGGGGGTTGAGTTGAGTTGAGTTTTTAAGCATATTGAGATTTCACAAATGGACCTTTTTTCTCTGTGAGATAATGGCATCCCCCGGTGGCCAAATGGGGAATCACAGAATCACTTTGTCAGAGGAGGGTGTATTGGCCCCGTAAAAATGGAGACTATGTAGCAAAAAGTCTATATACTTTTAGAAATATTTATTCAATTTCCAACAAAAACTTGGACAAGTGATCAACGTTTCACTAAAATGCTTTTTCAAGATTTTAAATCGAATCACCAAACAAAACGGCGCTGCCAAGGGCCCCAGACGATCTGCCTGTCTGCCTCCTCCTCCCTCTATGTAACTCCAGTCCAAGGTTCTCTTCAGGGGTGGCGAAGACAATCCCCCAATTTCACACCCCTCAGGCTGAGAGAAGGATGATCGCTTTGTTAAGCCTCTCCTTTCTCCCTCTCTCTCTCTCTCTAACTCGCACTAAACTCGCAGCGAAAACGAGAGAGATAAGAGAGAAAGCGAAAGAACGAGAGAAGGAGAGAAGCAAAAAAAAAGACGAGAGAGAGAAGAAAGAGCGAGAGAGAGATGAGAGAGAGAGCTAGAGACTTTCGAGCGAGAGCGCTCGAGATCTCTCTAGCTAGAGCTGCTCGCTCTCTAGATGAGATGATCTCACCAAGATCTCTCTCTCTCCCTCTCTCGTCCCCTCTCTCTCTCCTCTCTCTCATTCTTCCTCTCTCTCTCGATCTCTCCTATGTTACCTCTACTCTCCCTCTCTCAGAAGCTTTGTCATGTGTAGCCTATACAGTGAAATCCACTCTAATTGAACTAAAACCCTCCTCTACAGACTCTTCTAAAACCTAATTCACTGTTTCTCCTCTTTTCCCCTGGAACGAGGGCTGCGTTTGCAGTGTGTGGGCGCGGGACCTTTTTGAGCGATATACTTCGAGGCCTAATTGTGAAGTGATTATGTTAGCACGACCTGCCTTTCCTTTTTATATATAATCGGAAAATGGAATGAGCTGAACATTTTATATTTTAATGGAAGATGTATATTTTATAATGTTATTTACCTACATTTCTAGATGAGTAGAGATTGTATGTAAAGAAAATACATATAGAAAGATGTGGAACACAGTATTATAAACTATAGCGTTGTGTAATATTACTGCTATGTGACATATGCAGAAGTAGTTTTTCAAATGTGATGAATTAATATGTAGGAGTGGTATGGTCCAAATCACAGGATATAAATGGCATCTCTCTCTCTCTCTCTCTCTCTCTCTCTCTCTCTCTCTCTCTCTCTCTCTCTCTCTCTCTCTCTCTCTCTCTCTCTCTCTCTCTCTCTCTCTCTCTCTCTCTCTCCCTCTCTTTCTATTTTTCTCTCCATGTGCTTAACCAGCTAGATGTGGGGTTATTATTGTAATATACTAAAGGTTTAAACACAAATATGTAAATATTCTGGAGATAAATATTCTAGAAGAGTATGAGGTTTAGTTGAGTTAGGCAGAGGTCTTTCTTTCCTTCCGATATCGCTGTAGTCCTTGCATGCTTTTTAAGATGCCCAGAAAGGATCTCTGTCTCTCTTTTGGCCCTTAGTTTAACCACAAACCAGACCCATATATATATCTCGGGGCCTTTTCATGTTCAGATATCAATAAATGTAATACTTTTATTTATCCACTGAATAGCCTACCACAGATGGTTTAGGCCGGGATTCAATCCGATCACGGGTTTTAGGCTTTGCAGCTTTAAAAGGCAACGTTCCCACGTTCTTAGAGATCCCATTCACAGTAAATGCTGCATATATTGGCTCGATAGGACATTTCCTTTAAAAGCTGCAATGCCTGTAACCACAATCACAGATGCAATTCTGCCTAAGTTTCAAATGTCCCCTGCATCGTGAGATATTGTGTTACAGTGTTGAAACCTCTCAAGACAAACAAGCACAAAGACAGACAGCTGCTGCTCTTTCCACTGTGAACGATTCTCCAAACCTGAAGACATTGTTCCTAAGGATTATATACCTTCTGCATGAACACTACACAGGGAGGGACGTTCCATTCAGCCTCGGTACAGCTTCATGAACACTACACAGGGAGGGACGTTCCATTCAGCCTCGGTACAGCTTCATGAACACTACACAGGGAGGGACGTTCCATTCAGCCTCGGTACAGCTTCATGAACACTACACAGGGAGGGAGGTTCCATTCAGCCCCGGTACAGCTTCATGAACACTACACAGGGAGGGACGTTCCATTCAGCCTCGGTACAGCTTCATGAACACTACACAGGGGAGGGACGTTCCATTCAGCCTCGGTACAGCTTCATGAACACTACACAGGGAGGGACGTTCCATTCAGCCTCGGTACAGCTTCATGAACACTACACAGGGAGGGACGTTCCATTCAGCCTCGGTACAGCTTCATGAACACTACACAGGGAGGGACGTTCCATTCAGCCTCGGTACAGCTTCATGAACACTACACAGGGAGGGACGTTCCATTCAGCCTCGGTACAGCTTCATGAACACTACACAGGGAGGGACGTTCCATTCAGCCTCGGTACAGCTTCATGAAAACTACACAGGGAGGAACGCTCCATTCAGCCTCGGTACAGCTTCATGAACACTACACAGGGAGGGATGTTCCATTCAGCCTCGGTACAGCTTCATGAACACTACACAGGGAGGGACGTTCCATTCAGCCTCGGTACAGCTTCATGAACACTACACAGGGAGGGACGTTCCATTCAGCCTCGGTACAGCTTCATGAACACTACACAGGGAGGGATGTTCCATTCAGCCTCGGTACAGCTATCATATCTTACCACCTAACTTTCATCCCTCTGGTTATTCTTGGTCTGTTTAAACACCTTTTCTGGTAATGGGTGCGACTGCTATAGACTGTGTCAACTCCTCCACTGTAAGTGTGATAGACTGTCAACTCCTCCACTGTAAGTGTGATAGACTGTCAACTCCTCTACTGTAAGTGTGATAGACTGTCAACTCCTCTACTGTAAGTGTGATAGACTGTCAACTCCTCTACTGTAAGTGTGATAGACTGTCAACTCCTCTACTGTAAGTGTGATAGACTGTCAACTCCTCTACTGTAAGTGTGATAGACTGTCAACTCCTCTACTGTAAGTGTGATAGACTGTCAACTCCTCTACTGTAAGTGTGATAGACTGTTAAATCCTCTACTGTAAGTGTGATAGACTGTCAACTTCTCTACTGTAAGTGTGATAGACTGTCAACTCCTCTACTGTAAGTGTGATACACTGTCAACTCCTCTACTGTAAGTGTGATAGACTGTTAACTCCTCTACTGTAAGTGTGATAGACTGTCAACTCCTCCACTGTAAGTGTGATAGACTGTCAATTCTTCTACTGTAAGTGTGATAGACTCTCAACTCCTCTACTGTAAGTGTGATAGACTGTCAACTCCTCTACTGTAAGTGTGATAGACTGTCAACTCCTCCACTGTAAGTGTGATAGACTGTCAATTCTTCTACTGTAAGTGTGATAGACTCTCAACTCCTCCACTGTAAGTGTGATAGACTGTCAATTCATCTACTGTAAGTGT